TTAGTTCCCTAATGCCAAGGAACTCACCCCCTTTAGCTGCCATGGTTCTCCTGAAACTTCAGACAATGGGTTCAAACATAACTTGGGGAGGGGTGCCTGGGTGGCTCAGTGGGTTAAAGCCTCTGCCTTCAGCTCAGGTCATGATCCCAGGGTCCTGGGATCGAGCCCTGCGTCGGGCTCTCTGCTCCACAGGGAGCCTGCTTCCCCCTCTCTCTCTCTGCCTGCCTCTCTGCCTACTTGTGGTCTCTCTCTCTCTCTCTGTCAAATAAATAAAATCTTTAAAAAAAAAAAACATACCTTGGGGATTGGAAATGTCAGCACCTTTGAACTAGTGCATTAGAGAGAATCTGGAGAGTATAAGCCTTCTCTGATCTCTGACCCAGGCTCCCGGCAGATGGAACATCTTGGGTATTCTCTTTGCCTGATGATTCACGGGGACGGGTGTTTGGGTGTTTAGATTTTAAAACATTCTTCTCAACCAAAACTGAAACCGAGAGGCGCAATCACTCTGGAATTTTTTGCACCTGCAAAAACAGCCGTGTTACTAAAATCAGCTGCTCTTGCCATGCAGGCTGCGGCGTGTGATGGTGGTGTTTCTCCAGCCATGCGTGTTAGGGCTTCACCGCGGGGCGCTTACACGGTTCCGGCATGGGACCTCTCGTGGAGCCAGCATTCTCTGTTCCGACGCGTTTATCAAGCAGATCCAAAGAAACGGACCAAATCTCCAAAGAGCAGCTCGCTTAGAGCAACAGAAGATCACGTGCAGCTTCTCTCAGTAAGAAATTGGTCAGAGGACTCCAGAAAATGCTTTTCAGACTGTGTGCACTCTAAAATGTCCTACATCTTGATCCTTCCACAGCATGACTCAAGTTCTTGGACTGACTTAACATTTCTGCTAAAACCAGCTATTAGGCCTGGCCACTTCCTTCCTTCCTGGCACTATTTTCAGGAGGAGAGACCCGGAGCCCCTGCACCTGTTGCTGGTGCGGCCACAGGAGGAAACCTCTACAAACCCTCATTTGTCCCCACAGCACAGCCGGGGTGCCCGAGCTGCAGCAGGGGCCAGTGTCAGTGTCCAGAGGGGCCAGCTGGGACTCCGAGGCCAGGCAGCCTCAGGAGGGAACATTTCCCCAGGCACTTCTGGGTCTGCAGCTGGCCACATTCCCCGGGGACGCAGCCAAGAATTCCAGCCCTGTTCTTTTGATACTGGGATGGCTGATCCCATGGAAGGAGGAGGAGGTTCTGGGGGTGACTGCCAACCTTGTTCGTCATGTTGGGATGCAAATGTGACTGAGACGCAGCTCTGAGATGCTTACAGTCCCTCCCTCGGGCCATGATGCTCTTAGGGAGGGGTCCACTGCCCTGGGAACAGATGGCGAGCTGGCTCCTGGCCCCCTTGGCTGGTCAAGGGTCGGGTCCCGCTGGCTCTGATCATCCTGGCCCTGGACATGCCACTGCGTGGAATTTTAGCATGAGGTACCTGAACACCACCAGGTCAAAACCGATTTCTGCTTCTGTTCTCTTTCCAAACCAAAACTAGTACGGAGACATCGGATATCTGGCATTGCATGCCAGGGACCCATCTTGGCTACCTCCTTGAAAACCTCTTCCTAGCATGCTTTTTGTCTTTCTTCAGTAGAAATCTGGCAGAAGAGCGGGGTTCTTATTCTCACCTTTTATCTGGGTCTGTTTGTCCACAGCTAGAATAACAGAGGCTTTTAAAAAACCTAATGAATTCAACGTTCAAAGAATGGCCTCAAGCAAATGGAATGTAATGGTCCCTCTCCCCAGCTTAGGGCAGCAGGGAGGCCACAGGGGTTTAACATCATTTTCATTCACATTCAAAATATTTCCAAAAGCACAAGGTTTTTAAAATTCAGCATCCTGAGACTGAATCCCCAATAATCTTCCTCATTCCTAAAATGTTTTTTTCAGTAGCGGGTCCCTGATAGTTTTAATATATTTTAATATATTAGATGTGGAGAAAAAGGGATGGATACCGTTTGGGGGTTTTGATGTCCAGTGGATTTGTGTGTATTTCTTATCCATGTGTATTTCTTCTTCTCTATAAATACATTTGAATAGACTAAACACCTCCTTTGGCCAGCTACTTCATCAAAACATTGAAAAAATGCTACGCTTGAGCACGGATTTATTTAGATATTTGCAAATGGGGTTCTGGAAGCCCTCTGCAGTTCGAGGATGGGCTGGGTTCTCTCAGCCTTCTGACTGGGAGGAAGCTGCTGTCACTGGATTCACAGTTCACAGCTATACCAAGCTCCTGTTATCAGGGGAGAGAACCGAGCGCCAGCTGCAGAGAATGGAGATGATTGTCCCAAAGGTTGCTAACATTGAACTTGCTACTTACACACACACACACACCCACACACCCACACACATGCCTATCATAAAAGCCTATCAGCTCACACAGATGCTGGCCAAATGAAGCACGTGTCCCTAGTACTTCCTCTAACTGACAACAACAAGGTCTGAGGGTTGCATCCCTGAGATGGCCGTCTCATCTGCCTTTCTTCCTCACGTCAACCCTGGGCTTCGTAGAACTAGCTTGCCTTGCTACACTCCCAGCAAGTAACACTTAGAAATGATGCAGCAGATGATTATCTTTTTAGTACTTCAGTTGTGCATTCCAAATCCTGAATTTTCTTTCAGCTGGTACGCTTCTGAGTGTGGTTACAGCCACAGAGGAGGAGGGCACAAGCGGGGATGGTGTCTGGGAGCTGCAGGGCTGAGGAAAGGGGCAGGATGGCAGGATGTGAGCTGGTTCCTCTGCTTTCGGAAGAGGGAAGGGGGCCCGGGATCAGGAGCCACCCTTAACCCTCTGACTGCCAGACCACGTGGCTTAGGACCACTTTCTGCTATTATTTTTTCAATTTATTTTAAAACAGGATGACTAAATGAGAGGACTTAGAAGTCACAAGAAACCGGGCTTCTTTATTTAGGACTCGGCCGAAGAGCAGGTCTTCACTGAAGAACAGAGGGCTTAAGAGGCTGGGAGCATCTCCTTCCTCTTCAGGGCTTTTTTCACTAAGAAAGTGAGGCTTCCCCATGAAATTGAGGTAAACACACAGTCAACAAAAGGGTTCCTCATGGGGGCGCCTGGGTGGCTCAGTGGGTTAAAGCCTCCGCCTTCGGCTTGGGTCCTGGTCCCGGTGTCCTGGGATCAAGCCCCGCATCGGGCTCTCTGCTCAGTGGGGAACCTGCTTCCTCCTCTCTTTCTCTGCCTGCCTCTCTGCCTACTTGTGATCTCTATCTGTCAAATAAATAAATAAAATCTTAAAAAAAAAAAAAAAGGGGTTCCTCATGGAAGCAGTCAACCATCAAGATGTGGCATTTCAACCCAACACATCAACCAGTAAAATGCTTCTGTTAATTTCTGTTCTGAGCTGGATAATTTTATGACCACTAATTATGACTGCAGCCACACATGGAGAAAAGCATAAAAATAGCTCTCTGTCCTTTCACTGAAAGAACCTTTTCAAAGATTAACTTAGCAATCTCCTCCACAACGCCCAGGAGTAAATGGGCAGGTAAGTCTTGGTTTTCTGATTTTATAGACATCATGGACGCATGAGAGGTTCGTGCAGTGGTTCTCCCAAGGTCAGGGACGAGCCTTGAGATGACAAATGGGTGATGGAGTCTGGAGTTCTATCATGCAGAAAGGCATGGCCTAAGAACCAAAGACGGCTTCTCTGGGGCCCTGGGTCCTGGAAAGAAGACTGAGGCAGAGCAGAAGCCCAACGTGTATTTCCAGTTACCGGAAACGTCTTGCCAATGGGCCTGCTGTGACATAAATACAAAGTTTTCATCATACATATAAGCCCATGGATAAGAACAGGAAAAGCACAGAGGTGGTGGAATGTGCCCGCAGTAGAGAAGGACATAGTGGGGTGGCTTTGGACTCCCTCCATAATCACACCAAACTTGGCCATCACTCACGCCCTTGACTCTTATGACCCAGGTGACCTTGAGGAAAGGCATTTTTTATTTGAAGCCTCCATTTCTTCCACGTGAAATGGAGCTCGGTCCCTATCTGGGACATGACCTTGATGAGTGAAGAAGGTAGCTTATCCAAACGTGCAGCTGAGCACCTGGCTCGGGCGAACACTCGAAACAGAAGGCTATTTGATCTTCGGAGTCAGGACCCTTTCAGGGCTTCTTGTGGTTGAAAAGGGAGAAAGTTTTGATCCCCAAGAAGCACAGACGCTTTGCCACCCCTTGTCCCATGGTGGTACTCTCAAGCAGACACAGACAAAGTCAGGCATGATGCCCATTAAAAATTTAACTATATATCATATTCATTTATTATCAATCCACAGGATAATTTGATTGCTACATGAGCTCATAAAAGCTTTTTCACCTTTACAAAATTAAAAAAAAAAATGTGCCACAAGGATGTAATAACAACTGCTGATAAACAAGAAAAGGAAATCTTAAAATTATAAATTTGCTGTAGAAAAGATAAAAAACAATTATATTTTCTTTAGAATTTTACCTTGAATAAAATATTCCCCTGTATAAAAAATAAAAAAGCTTGCTCTGGTTAGAATTAGAATATTTTTGTCTTCAAATCTGGGAATTTGCATAATATCTCCATGATAGTTTTCCTTTGTACCGCGTGGCATTCAAGCACAGCAGATTAGATTTTCTTTTTCTTTCTTTCTTTCTTTTTTTTTTTCTTTTAAAGCAGTCTTAAAAATTGGATCTCCGTGGAGAAGCTCCTTTTCTTCTTCTCCTCCTCAGGGATGTGGAACACAGCCTTTTCGGGGAGGAAAAGGAGGAAAGGAACTGGATGGGATGGGCCGGGAAGCAGGACAAAGGGCCATGGTGGGGAGGGGGGGAGGGGGGCGCTGAATGTGCTGAGAAATAGAGCAAGGTCACAAGAAGAAGGTCTATCTGTAAGTGCTTTAAGATAAGGTGCAGAAGCAGACGGCCGCGTCGCTAGTACTGCCCTATGTACATATTCACAAGAATAAAAAATTCCAGCTAGTTCACATTTTCTCATCCGTTCTGAGGCATCCACTCCACCATGCCGGCCTTGACCGCAGGCAATGCAGCACCTCGCCGCCCGTGTGAGTGTTGGTCCTATGACGTCCTTGAACTTGAGGGAGCAGCCCTGGGAGATCCAGCAGGCTCTAGAGATATGTGTCTACCAATGGGCTGGAGTCCTGAGTTAAGAGAAGCCCCAGTACTGGAGTTGGACACAGCAATCAATGTTCTATTGTCAAGGCTTTTTCCCTTAAGGATTTGTCTAAAATAGGCGTCAGAGAGGAAAAAAATAAAATACAAACAAACAACAAAACAAAGCCAAGAAATCCCAACAACCACTGGGGGAAGTCGAAGGCCTAACAGCTCTTGACGCGGGCCTGGGTGATATCCGATGTCTTCTTGATGACGCTGGCCCGAGTCTCCCGGTCCGGCCGACTGCTGCTGGGCGCTGGGGTCACAGAGGGAGGGAGGGGGAGGTCTGGTAGAGTGGGCCACGAGCTGTTGTAAGGCACCGGACAGCTCTCCTCTTTGATGGTGACCTGGAGGTCAGGTTTGTTGGAAGTCACGAAGGTCGCCATGCTGGGCAGCAGGTAGGTGCTTCGTGTCCCCATGTTGCTGAGGTACTGTTTGCCTTCAATGTTCCTCTTCCGCCAGTGTGGTCGTCCCTTTCAAAGAAAAGAATCAAGAGACATATTTTTTTCCTTTGCCTTCTATCGAATGGCTTAAAAAAAAAAGCCCCCTGTTCCCACATGTTGGTGTGTTAACTTGAGTTTCTTAAGAGGCGTGGAATGAACAGAAGTTTAGCGACTTCACGTCCCTCAACCAAGACCCACACCCGGCTGCTCACATCCCAAACAATGGTTTCTCTTCCCTTTTTATCAATTTCCATTTGCTACCTCCCAGAAAAATAGGCAAAACAGTTCTATGAAGGCAGGAAAACAAGGCAGCAAGTTGCTTTCTGGTTCCCCTCTCCTCCGGCCCCCCAGCCTGATCAGGAGGTAGGTGTTAAGTCATCCTGGCTGGTCTGTCATAGAGTCTTGCTTCCTCACTCATGGCCTAGTCCAGTCTTTTGAGTCAATCTGTGCTTGCAGAGAAAGGGAAGTGAGGAGGAACTCAGAGGGCAAATGCCTTCCCACTGTGTTCAAACGGGTGCGGATTTAGAGCTCCAACATGCCAAGCAAACAGGGGGTCTCAGGGGTGACTTCACTCAAAGAAGGAGCTGGAATTTCTGACCTGGAAGAAACAGGGTTGGAATGTCTGTGAGCAGCTACACTTCCTGTCTTTTCAGAGTTCCTGGACTCCACTTGAAGTGTTTAGTACACCAGGAAATCACGAACTGAAACCACCATCAGTCAGTCTCTTTTTCTCTCTCAAACACAGACATGAAGCAGGCGGTTAGAGCCATTTCCTGCCATTGTGTGAGCCCAGCCTGGAGCAGGAGAATGGGAAGCAGGAGACTCTGAATCCGGACTGAACACACACCTAGCCTCTGGGCATGGACCGCCGAGGGAGGGGACCCCAGGTACACGTGGAGATATTTTTGCTGAGCCCTTTCTGACGGTGACTTCCAGTCACTGATGTTGGCCACTCGGCCCTTCTGTTTCTGCTGGTGAATCGGGATGTGTACAGTGGTGAGAATATCAACAATATCAACAATGGCCTCACTTCAGTCTCCATTTCCTGCCGTCAAAGCTTCTTTTCCTAAAAGGAACACCTTACTGTCTCTCCTCCCATTCAGCCCCCAAAGCTTAAATGTAGAATTCAAAATCCAAAAGTATGGTCAATTTTCATGTTATGTGTATTTGATGACACCCCCCCCCCACCAACACAAACTCTTCTGGTAGAACCCATGATCGGATATAGAGAAACGTAACCAGCAGCAAGGAACCCGAAGTGGTGGGGTGGGGGGAACGCTTTTCCACAGCGTCTGTTGGAGCCAAGCGGTGGCCGCCATGCTTACCTCGACGCTCTCTTCATCACTGGGCACACTATCGGTAGTTTCGCTTTCTGTTCACAGAGAGAAAAACACAGGGCCATCATTCCTGCCGCTCAAACCGTGGTGAGGCTTAGGCAGTGTTTAAAAAATATATCCACACTTCTTTTTTTAAGAAAAGAGAAATGGGTCAGTGAACTCATGACCTTCACCCCCTTCGTGAGGCTCAATAAACACGTGTACTTGGGAGATGCTAGAGTGGATTTTATTTCTCCGATTTTGGCCGTTCATCGGAGAAAGGTTTTAGAGCCGGGGGTAGCTCCCTCTCCGAGGGCCAAGCTATGTCTTCTCACTGCCACTACCTCCCAGGATTGGGGTGTTGGCCCCCATGGTGCCAATCCGCTCTCTGCTTCCCAGGACCTCTGCTCACCCCCTTTTCCTCTATCCACACACCCCACGTGTGCTTTCTCCCACTTCACGTCAGTCCCGACTCAGAGCCTTCCTGGATCACCCCCACTTACTTGGATCCCTCCTTCACCTCATATCCCTTTCATACTTCTATTTCGGGTTTATAAAGTTTCCTCTTCCACCCAGGTTACGGTGGTGGACAGATTCTGGGGGGCTCCCATGATCCTCCTCTCCTGGTGTCTACTCGCTTGTTGGGACTCCCTCCTCTGGAAGGTAGCTGGGACCTGTGACTCGCTTTGAGGCCACAGAACACAGCGAGCGATGGGATGTTACATTAAGTAACTGAGCCCTGTCTCGTGAGGAGACTTTCTCCCTTGCTGGCTTTGAGGAAATAAGGAGCCATGTTGGGAAGGTTTGCATGACAAAAAAAACCAAAAAACAAACAACTAAGAGCTGCTTCTGACCAACAGCTGGTAAGAAACCAAGGCTCTCAGTTGGACAACCCACGCCTACGCTTTACCTCAAATCATGTGAGCTTAGAAGTAGACCTCCTCCCTGCCATTCTGCCCTCAGACGAGCTAGCAGCCCCGGACCGCACCTTGACCACAGGTCTGTGCGTGCAGTGGGCTGAGCAGAGAACCCCGCTCAGCCATGCCTGCACTCCCGACCCTCAGAAGCTGGGCTGGGATTCATAAATGCGTGTTATCTGAAGCCACAGAGTTTCTGGTTATGTTGTGATGCAGCAACAGATAACTAATTCGCTTATCATCCTGAGCTAGTGTGCCAGCTGCGAGACACAGAACAGCTTCCCTGACTCCACAGAGTGTAGCTTCCTCATCTAAGATGCGAGTATGAACATCTTCCAGAGAGGATTGAGTGATGAGTCCGGGGGAGGATGTGTGGGAAAAGGCCGAGCACAGGGCCTGGCCCACAGCGTACACTCAATGAGTGACAGCACGCCTTCGTCCTGAGCTCATCAGCCTTGCTCACCATTGGCTTTGCACAACAGGCTAGATGAACAGAGTCAAAGTCAGTAGCTAGTGATTACACATCATCTGTATGTATAATACAAGTTTTTTAAAATAGAAAAACTTAAGTTAAAATTTTTAATTTTTTAAAATATTTGTCATTTCTTTAAATAAAAAATTGATGGTGGGCAGCTCTTCAGTGTCTACGGCAGTGGGAAATGAAAGCACAGAGGGTAGAGAAATACACTGAGCCTTAGGGATCCCTGAGTCTGGGTCCTTCCTCTGCAGACAGGGCCTACAGAGAGCATCACGGGGAACGTTTATAGAGATCCGGGGGCCAGGGCTGTACCCCTGCAGAGATCCTCAGCGGGAAGCAGCTCCCACCGCCACCCCTGCCCCTCATGCAGAAGAACTCAGGTGCTCTAGCACCTTCTACCTCCTTCCGTCCCAAACCTACAGAGAGGCTGACCTCCAGTCTCCCATCTGGCTGGTGGCACAGCAGGGACCAGACGCCTCGGCCCAGATGGAGCCTTTTCGACCATTCAGAGCACTAGCCCCATAGGGCTTAAAGGTTAAAGAACAAATGGCCAAAGTGAGCCTCAGGGTCATCCCGTCAACAATGAAAACGAGAATGCTGACCATCCTCAGCCACTCTCCAGGGACGTCCCCTGGGCATGAGTGACCCCAGAGGGCCCACTGGGAGCAACCAGAGCTCGGGCCTGGCCTCGCCTCTCCTCAGACCTCCCCAAAGCCTCTCTAGCTGGGAGCAACAGCCGCCTGGAGAAGGCTTCGTCTGAGCTGACCATGGCCGTGACTATGCTGACGGGCGATAGCAGCCAAGCACACAGCAAGGTAGAAACCCTGCTCCCCTAACCCTCATGCTGGCCCAGTATCCCACAGAGGCAGCAATCAGTATGGCCACTCCCAGGAAGAATGAGGAACAGAGATGTTGAAAACCCTGCCAAAGCTGTGGCCTGAGTCAGCACGGAGGACAGAAAACAAAACTGCACATCCGACTCTAGGGCCCCGGGCACAGAACACAACAGCTCCGCTTCCCGCCGCGCTCCTGCCACCCCGGCTGAAATTTCAAGATCCCCTTTCCATTTTTATGCTTAGCTCTCTCTGTGCCCTAAAGCCAGGGTTCCTCTTCCTCCCATACATGTCTAGACCCTCTTTGCTCCTAATTACCTTCCATAAATACCGTCATCTTCTGTTCCTTTTCCCCCTTTGAATAGCAACAAGCAAATAGACGCCAACAGACATGGTGCGGGGGGGGGTGGCAGGGACAGCTGGAAATCCGTGGAAATGAGCAATTACCACTAAGGTTCTGGGATCCAGCCCCAGCCCCAGCCCCAGCTGCGGGAGGAGGTGGAAGGCAGAGCCCGGGCAGGCTGCTTGGTAAGACCCCGCAGAGACCATGAACATGACCGGCATTGCTCACTGCCCTTAAGGACCCAGCTTTCAAAGCTTCAGGGAACCAGTCTGTGACAGAAAAAGACATACATGTTCTGAACTGACATTTTCGGCTAATGCAAATGTTCGTCAAGAGCGTGCCTTCTAAATTAAGATCACCTGCTTTTGGAGTGACTCTGAAGGCTCTCCACATTAGCAAGCTGAGATTTCCAGCTTTCATTGCTTAAAACCATGGTCCTGCATGCCTTTCCCCCCGGAGCACGAGATGCCTCAAGCTCCAGCCTGAGGACTCAAGAGCCTTCTCTCTGGAGTAAGCCTGGCTCCCGGGGCTTTGCTGGGCATGCACAGACCCGTGTTCCTCTGTTTCTCTGGTTCTCCTTCACTGTTGCTGTTCTCAACATCCCTTCCTATATCGCACGTGGGTTCACGGCAGCTGCTGCGTCCAGGTCAAGGCCACCGCCGAGTATCAGCGTGCACTATTATTTCATTTTCCCTTTTGAAGAGTTTAGATTTTTTTTTTTTAATTGGTGGTGAGTACAATGGAATAAAAAGAAACTGCAGTTGCTTCCGTAGCGTGGCATGACTAAGCAGAAAAGCTGGTATGTTGAGTACCTGTAACAGGTACACAAGTAGCTCTGTTTTAACACTGTGGTCCCAGTGTCCCTGAAAATGACTGGTGAGAGGGAAGGGGATCAACCCCGGGACGGGCTGATCTCAGAGGTCCTTCTTCCCGAGCTGTGGTTCTGGGGAGACACTAGTCTTCGCTTCACACGCCCCTTCAGCCCCGTTCTGACTGTTCAACCACCTCAGGAACATTCTGGGGAGGGAGACAGGAGGCTTAGTGTGAAAGCCTTTTTTGCATTCTGACATCCTGGTACATTTTCTGGAAGGTTCTTGTTCAACAAGTTTTACTAGTAAGATTGGCAAGGATTCCTCTCCCTCGGTCTTTTTCCTCAACTCACTAGAAAGTTCAATCAAAGGGTCCGAATCAGAGGCTTCTTCATTTCAGAGCACTTTTACCTTTGCCCCACCCAGCAAAAGGCAAGGTTTCTCTGGTTTCCATGGAGACTCAAAGTCTTCATTGCTAACTGCTGGTCAAGAGGCGATCTCCACTCTCTCAGTGACAACAAATTAATCCTTTCTACTACGCTCTCTTCTCCATCCCCTCGCCCAGTCCTCCATAAAAATCCTCCTTGGGCTTTCTTTTATTAAACCATCAATAATCTACTAAAATCTTGGGGTTAGACACACATCAGTCAAGAGACCACCATGCAGAAGACCTTGAAATAGAAAATGACTGTCCTCCGGAGTTTCCCAAGGCTGGGCTCTGGGATATCTCTCCACAGCATGAAAGTTCTAATAATCCAATGAGAATCTTATGTTGTCTTAACACATCCCATGCAAGTACCTCCACTCAGGGAAACCTCCTCTCTTCTTGCTCACCACTTAGACCATAGAGAAGATGGACTTGCAAAACAGACTGTGGTTTTGTAATACTACTGGATTATACTTCAGTGATCAGTAAGGATTAAAGAAAAAAATCGCAAACAACAGTCTCCAAATACCAGTTTCCTAAGCAAGTGAATGAAATGGTGAGAGGAAGTTGAAATTCAGTTGAATTTGAGTCCAAACAAAGGAAACTTATCACCAAAAAAAAACAAAAAACAAAAAAACAAAAAAAACAAACACCAAAAAAACACCAAACAAACCAAAAACCAAGCAACAACACAAATCAAAAAACAAAAACAAAAAACCAGACAAGCAATAAGAGGGGTGAATGACAACCCAAAAGCTGCCTTTCCCAGCAGAAGGCTATAAAGTTCCTCGACCAAAAGACCTCAACCAGCCACAGTCCCTAACAGGTAAACTCTGGGTCTGTAAGCTCTGGAAAAGCAGCAACGATGAAACATCTTGGCTCCAACCAATAAGCCTCACTCCAGAAGGTTCTGGAGAATTCAGACAATGAAAACAAGGGAGAGAACTAAAGGCCAGACTGAAGAGCCAGCCTCCGACAAAACTCCTGCTGCCTGCCAGGCTGGCACTGCGATCCTTCTTTTCTAATCTATGCAAATGTCCTGAAAAGGGTAATGAAATTTTCATTTCTCTCTGCACGGCTCAGCTGTTCCTGGGATGATTCTGCTGAGGCAAAATGCCACTGAGGGCAGAACAGTAAGACGTCTTTGCAGAAGCCTCCAGAAGGCTTCAGGAAGGCTCTAACAGATACACAGAGAAGTTGGTTCTGAAGCTCCAACCCTTGCAAAAATTTGAAACAGCCACATGGGTTGGAATAATGCCCACAGCGGCACCATGGAGGAGAAAGTCACACGTTTCCAGCCATAGCTGTGCAAAGTAAGCAAAATAGCCTAGTGTTATCTCAACTGTAAAACAAAGGCATAAACATGCTACTCTGGCCCCTTTGGTGGGTCCTGAAGATGCGGGATGAGGACGCGTTCTGTACCACAGAGCCCTGTGCACGTGTATGGGGAAGGGTAACTGGGGAAGGGTTGAGCACAGGCTTCTCGTACCAGCGACATGTAGGGAGTATCACCGTTCCTCTTCGGACACGCTGCCTTACCCACACCGGCCTTAGCTCCCTGATTTTTAAAAGAGGGACTAACGATGATACCCAGGCTGATGGGGCACAGCTCCCAGGGCACCATAACTCTGCAGCAAATAGGAGTTTATATCTTGGCAAAGACCACCAAGGATCTCAAACAGGTAGGGGCTCAAAATGTGAATGCAAAACAACCCGCGACCAGCTTATCCTCTTTGACAGATTATAGGCTTCCTGTAGCCAAGAGTCGCTCTCACGTTCCTTCTACGTTCTAGGCATAGAAGAAAGTCAGGATCTTGACAACCTTAGGCGGAATCAGCCCATCACCAAAGAACAAGCACGGTATAATTCCACTTCCGTGACCAACCCAGAGTAGCCAAATTCATGGAGGCAGAAAGTAGAGTGGGGCGTTGCCAGAGGGTAGGGGGAGGAGAGAGGAGGGAATTGGTGTCTCACGGGGACAGAGCTTTAGTTGTGTAAGATGAGAAAGTTCTGGAGCCGGACGGTGGTCATGGTTGCACAACAAGGTGAATGCACTTACTGCCACCAAAATGTGCCCTTAAAAATAGCAAAAATGGCAAATTCTGGGCTATGTCCATTTAACCGCAATTTTTTAAAAATCAGCTAAAAATATAGAAAGTTGGTGTTCAGAAAGTTGAAGGTTAGGTCAGTGGTTGATAATTCACGAAGACCCTGTCATTTGAAGCAAACTAATTCTAATACTGACTGTGTGCCAGCCACTGGAGGGGCACCCAAACTAAAGGGCACTGTCTGGAGGCACGTAGCGGACACTGGGAAGATTCCTGAACGTGTACGAGAGCGGACTACAGTTCCTCGGTTACAGGGCCTCTGTTTTCTATTTTTAATGTTTGCAAGCAGTAACACTGACTCAGAATTTATATTTCTAATTATAATCGAGTCCCCAGAAAATGAAGCGGAGATTGTGGGAGAGCGTAAAATGACGTAACGGTGGTAGACAAGGGAGCCACCACTTTGTTCTGTGAAGATGCAAGAGCCACCTGAACCCAGTTCTAATCCTAGGACTGCCTGGGTCGATTCCTGCGTCGTTATGTGGTCCTTCCCAGGGGAATCAGAGCCGGGCCCAGGCACCTGGCCTGATGAGAAGCTGCACCGAATTGAAAGAGAAGGGGAAAATAAATGGGAACTAGTAAACACGGTGGGATGGAATGAGGCTCCGGGTCTCAAGGCTGAGTTCAAGTCCTGACCCAAACACTCACTGGCCACGTGACCTAGGGCACCTGCCTTCACTTCCAAAAATTCTGAAGGAGCTGAAGGAATGGTCTTTGAGGTTCTATCCAGCTTGATCCGACTCAGATTCCACTGAAAACACCCTTCCGGATTTCTGATCGTTTATGCAAATAAAATAGACATCGATAAACTACTTCTCCAAAGGAAAATTGTTAGTCTTGCATGAAAATGTTATGAGTGATTGAGTCAAGAAATGCTGTGCCCATAGTCTTCTGAGAACACAAGTACCCAAGAAGATGTTCGTGGAGAAAATAAAGCAAGAATAATTCCCAGGATGGAAGAAAGGTTCTTTGCTGTGTGGTAAAGCAGTTGGCCCCACGGGAGGGGCTGCCCCCCGCCCCTGAACCTTGCTCAGCTCTAAAGGTTCCCTCCGACCCTCTTACCTGCATAGGAAGACACAGGGGAAATCTGCAGAGGGTAGAGCTCACTCATGCTGACCGGCTGTTCGTCACTCTCGGTGGTCACCTCTACAACCTGGCAGATGTCCGGAGGATTAGCGACAATCTCTTGATCCTCGATGTTGCTATCCAGGTGTGACTGTCCTACAACTTCAAAGACAAGACAGCCATAATGCACTGATGCCTGACTCCCTACACTAGCAGGCACTCTCAAGAAAGACAACCTTTCCCCAAAGAGTTGAAGAGTCAGGAATCAAATTCTCAGTCACCATACATCATTGGCCATGAAACTGAAGAACCCAGCCTTAGCTTTGGGTTAATATCTCCAGAGAAACAGCTTTGCCAGGAACCTGGCTCCCCGGGGCCATTTCCAGCATGCTGGCCCATGGTGCTTACATATGGCAATGTCCCAAACTCAATCCGGTCATAGCCAAGCCTGCAGGACCAGAGGTTGCACCCAGAACTAGCCCTAAGGCCAGACAGACAGTGCTCTGAACTTGACCCATTTCTGTCCTCTGCTCTTGCTCTGAAGGAAGCTGCTGTGCTGTGTGCCAGGTCCTGGGTCCAGAGAGACAAAATCAAATCTTACTAAGGAGAGAGGACCACCAGAATGCACTCCATTGTATCATTTCCAGCTGTGGGGGCTCTGTTCATGCTCCCAGTCCTTTCCTATCCTCCAGGCAACGTAACCAGGGGAGGAAATACCAGACAATGGGCCAGAATGCTTGCCCGAGCCTCACACCCGCTAACTAGGACACTGAGAAGATGAATTCCCACCACCTGGTTCTGAATCCTGCCTCAACTTTTTGTTAATTAAACTTTTTAGTCATTTAGTTCGTTGTAGATTCACATACAATTGGAAGAAACAATAGAGACAGATCCTGGGTGCCCTTCATCCAGTTTCCTCCAATGGAAACATCTTGGAAAACTCTAGCACAGCATCAGGGTACTGACCCTGGTAACATTCTACACATTTTGTTCAAATTTGCCCAGTCTCCCTCGTACTCCTGTGTGTATATGTGTGTGTGTGTGTGTGTGTGTGTGTGTGTGTGTGTGTAGTTAGTTTTACGCAATTTGATCACATATGTCATCTCATGTGTTCACCAGCACAGTCAAATTACAAAACAGATCCATCATCACAAGCATCACCTATACCCACCTTCCATCGGCCTCTTCTCCCCACCGTCTCCAACCCCTGACATCCACTCATCTGTTCCCCAGTTCCATAATTTTTGTCCTTTCAAGGATGTTTCATAAACGAGCTCACCCAGTAACCTTGAGAGAGCAGCTTTTTTCACTCTGCCTAATTCACTGGAAATTCATCCCTCCCGCCGTGTAGTGCATATTAATAGTTGGTTCCTTTCCACGGCTGAGTAATATTCCCCAGTGTGGTTATACCACAGTCTGTTTAACTAGTCTGCTCACTGATGGTCTTCCGGGTCATTTCCATTTTTTGGCTATTACAAATAAGGCTGCCAAGAACATTGGTGTATGGGTTTTGTATAAATGTAAGTTTCCATTTCTCTGGGATCAAGGCCCAAGAGTGCTGGATCACATGCTAACTTCACGTTTCCTTTTATAAGAAACCGCCAGACTATTGCTTGGCGTGGCTACACTGTTTCACACTCCTGGCAATGTATGGATGACCCAAGTCAAGCACATTCTCACCAGCTTTTGGTGTGGTCACTATTTTCCTACTTTGGCCACTCTGAAACCTCTCAGAGTTTTCACTGTAGTGGTATCTCACTGTTGTGTTAATCTGAAAGCCCTTAATGCCCTCCCCTACTTTCAAACAGAACTGACCTTATACTTTGTTGGCAACGGACTGAATGAGATATCCTTGAAAACTGGCACCGATAAACAAATGGAAACAACAAAGCAATCACAATGTTTCCCCAAGGGCCTCAAAATACTTGGCCACCATAATCACTGTTTTACTCAGGCCTGTGTAAGTTATTTTAACATTTCGCCCCCGAGAATGACAGGTAAGCCATCCTAATCCTTTTATCAATGAAGAAGCTCAGGCACAGAGAGGTAGATTAACTTCCCCAAAGTCACACAGCTCAAGTCCTGAGCAGGGCTCCTCATCCCTCCCGCTTTCTTGACCATCAGGTTAGGCTAAAAGGCCACCACGTCCCTATCTTCTTGAGAAGTCTGCCATCGTGAACAAGTTCTTGTCTTAACCATTCAGTATTTTAATTGCTCCAGTATTTTTGTTTATAAATGAGTTCCTGTTTTAATTGCTTTATGGAGAGAGATGAAATGACTAGCATGAGGTAAAGAGAACATGACCCGATTCTATTCAGAGAAGCCTTGAGAAGGGAGTGAGAATTCTCGGGTTCTGGAATGAAGAGAGGGAAGGCACCCAAGAGGCTGGGGGAAGGAGATGTGGGGATGTGCTAACCGTCCACAGAGCCACAGCACTTCCTCAGAGAGGAAGGGAAATGGAGTGTTGTTCAGGTTCTCCTGGGGTGCAGGGGTATACAACTAAAGAAAAGGCAGACAGGCTACAAGTGGCAGGTAGTCTCCCAAATTCTTTTTTTTTTTTTTAAGATTTTATTTTTATTTATTTGAGAGAGACAGTGAGAGAGAGCATGAACGAGGAGAAGGTCAGAGAGAGAAGCAGACTCCCCGTGGAGCTGGGGGCCCGATGCAGGACTTGATCCTGGGACTCCGGGATCCTGACCTGAGCCGAAGGCAGCTGTCCAACCAACTGAGCCACCCAGGCGTCCCAGTCTCCCAAATTCTTACTTTATCCCTTAGACTATCCTACTTGAACACGAAGAGCATCAGTTATACTGTTCACCAGACCCAGACTGAGCGCAGACACTGACCTCTCTCAAGTCTCTTCTGCCTCTTCTCCCATGGAAGATAAAATGGCAGGAAAACCAGATTTCCCAAGTCCTAAAAGCAGCTGGCGGATAGAAAGCAAACAGGGTGTGCATGTGTGTGTCTGAGGAGGGCTTGGCGACAAGCGACACCCTGCCCACTGAAGCGACTGAGGTCTTCTATAAACTCGATTTAAATCAAAGCCGCTCTCACTTGCAACCCTCTAAAATTCACTTCTCTTTTGCCCTGTCATTCCAAGTAGACCACAAGTGAGCCGGGAGCACACATAACGGCAGCAACTCAAGTGTCTTCCTATCCTCACAGCCCCTTGCTCTGACCAGGAAGTCTCTCCCTCGCTGCTTCTCCTCACAGTGCCCAACTCAGCCAGTCATTCAACTCACGGGACATTTACTGAGCACCTACTTTGTGAGGGACATTGTTGTCAAGTATGAGGAGGGGCAGAGCACCATCAACCCAGTCAAGGGCCTGGTTTGTGAGAACTCTGGTGGGGCTCTGGGCCAGCAAAGAATGCTCTAGAAGTTAAGTTTAGGACAGTTGTGAAAAGAAGCAGAAGGGAAGGGGGCCAGGGAGAGGCCACATGAAAAGAGTTGAGAAAGTGATTTTTTTCCAGTCTGAGGACTCAGAGGCTTCACTGAGGCAGGAGCACATGGGCGGGGGGGGGGGGGGCGATGAGCAACAGGCAGTATTCAGAATGCCTCTGCTTTCTCTTCTCCTGACCACCCCAGAACAGAAGGACTTCTCCTTCCAGAGCGCCTCTCCCTCACTGTCCCCAGTGCTCAGCTGAAACTACAACGTGACACAATCTTGTTCCACTTCTTGACTTTCTACCTCATCGCAAGTTAATTCTGTATCTCTTCCTGTAACTTTTTACTTGTGTGCCTCATCTCCCAACCAAGCCTCGGCTCCTGAGAGAGTTGAAAAGTGGGATTAGAACCTTCTGTACCAAGTCCCAGCACAGGCTCATGGCCTCTGCCTCAAGCAGCCCATGAAGCTCTGCTAAACAGACCGACCTGAGCCCAAGTCCCGCAGGAGGTCACAGCCACATGAAGACACGGGTAACAATGAAAGCTTCCTAGTGAATTTCAAGACTTCTGGCAAGGGGGCTTTTCAGAACCTAGAGGAAGTGATGGAAACAGAGGGGGCCATAGTAGCCAGAAACTGGGGGCAAGAGGAGGAAATGTTTCGGGGGGGAGGTGATCAAATGTCCTGGGTCTTAAACATAGTGGTGGTTACACAACTGAGTGCTTCTGTCAAAATTCACAGAACAGTACACTGAAAGGGGTTCATTTTAGTCTATTTCATGTAACATCTGAAACATCATGGGGGGCCCAACTCACAAGCGGCAAGCCCAAAGGAGCAAGGACTTGCCAACATCTGAGATGCTCTCTGGATGCTCTATAGGCACTAGCCCTAATCATCTGACCGATCTCTCTCTTTCATGAGTTTCCTGAACCACCAGCCTTTGCCCCGAGTGACAACACAGACAGCAACACTGACTCCTGACAGTCAAAAAGACACACGCATCGCAAGCCATCAGCAATCTGCTACAGTGATTCAAGTCAGAACGGACACCATGTGGGGCACCTGGGTGGCTCAGTCATTAAGCATCTGCCTTCGGTTCAGGTCATGATCCCAGGGTCCTGGGATGGAGCCCCGCGTTGGGCTACCTGCTCAGCGGGGAGCCTGCTTCTCCCTCTGCCTGCTGCTTCTCCTGTTTGTGCCCTCTCTATCTCCCCCACTTTCAAATAAATAAATAAAATATATTTTTTTTTAAATGGCACCATGCAGGGCACCCGAGTACCCTGACTGATAATTAAGGGTAACAAAACCAAACACTTCCTGAGCACTTACCTTTGCCTTTCCCACTCTCCCCTGACCTCCCACCTGGAAGGCTCCACAACCCCACAGGGAGGGTACAATGATCACCCCCATTCTAGATATGAGGAAAGGCATCGTGGAGAGTTAAATTTTAATTCAAGGTCAGAGGGCCCGTAAGTGGCAGAACCAGGAATCGAATTCCACTCTCCCTGACTGTGGCTCAGCTCCAGTGCTCTGCCAGGTGGTCTCCCCCAACCAAAAGGGCTCAGCAAGTTCCCACCGGGCTGCTCCCACCTTTCTAAGCCCATCTGAGGCTAAAAACTGACGACTCTCACCTTCATGAGACTCGGGGCTCATAACCAGTAGGGAAATTGCTTTTTTCAGCAGCTCTGTACTGGGTGCCAAGGAAATTCTCTAATGGTTGGAGGGGCTAGGAATCCACTAGAGCTTCTCCAGCACATTGGGTCAGCCCATCAGGAAAA